ATGGTTATGGCAATTCATGTGCAAAAACCTTTAGCAGCGACTATTGAAAATTTCTATTTAGCTATGCCTCTGCTTCAACTGTCCTTTCTCTCTTCTTTATACCTTCTTTCCTTCTTTTTAAACTAGAATTATTGTTGTCATTGTCAGTATTGTCTCTTTCTGCTTGTATATCTACTTTTTAGATGAGAATCTCTGATCTCTAATTGTAAGCTGCAAGATTCTTTGCTATTGTCAGTCCAAATCTGAATAATAACAACAACAATAATATAGTACTTTTCAATCAAATTATTACTGTCATTATATTTATTTATTTAATATACATATAAAATTTACATATGTATACATGCAAATTATATACATATATGTATATATAAATTATATATACATATTACATAAAAAATATCAAATTATTATTATGTAGTTGTTATTATGTGGTTAAACTATCGTAAACTGCAACTTTTTTAGCTTGCATGCATATGCTTTATTGCTACATTGATTATGAAACTTTTATATTTTATATATTGCCATACTTATAAAATATTTAACATTTAATAAATAGTTGTTCATTTAACGATTGCATGAAATACGATGTTGAGAAGTTGATCGGGAAATTTTGTCTGCTCGACAGATTATTTGCATAAAATCACCGTCTAACATACGTATATATTTAAATATATATGTTTATAAAAACGGAAGTTGGATTTAAATCCATGTGTGTCTTTTATTGATTACGCGCAAAGCGTGGAGAAGTTCGAGAGAGCGAGCGCTACGGACATCGCGCTTGTATTTAGTAATAGCGATGTACGACGGAAAGAAATATTTACTACCGATCGTAAAAGCCGAATGATTTACAATTAGAGATGTTTGTAAATGAAAAATAATTCTACGATGACTCTTCCGTGTATGACGCAAACGAATAGCGTCTCATCGTACAATCGTCCTGTAATAGCGACCGTAAGAAACGCATTTAAAAAAACTCTCTCTCTCTCTCTTTCTTTGAACTTTAAAAATAATTCTGTTTTTTCCACACGCAATTGCATGCTTAATGTATATTATTTATAATTTTTAATGTTATTTGAAGTTTTTTTTATGTGAAACTAAAATTTAATTAATGCATGTATAAATGGAGGTGAAAAGATGCATGGAATATGATCGGAAAGATGTAATACGGACGGTCTCCAAAATTTGAGACGGATCAGAAAAATTTCAGATTTTTTAAATCTTCTTTTTATGAATATTGTAAACATGTACCCGAATTATTTTTAATCGTGCATAAAATCAAACTACATAAGAAAAGTACATAACAATTAATTAGAGCTAGATGCCGTTTTTGGTCGGACTAAATCTTAGTAGCCTAATAATAATATTTCTGTGTGAAAATTTTGTATATTTTTTTTCAAGTATGAGGAACTGGACACATTATACACGACTATAGGCAGATTTATAGCCGAAGGACTGACTACTTATGAAAAGACGCGCGGCTACGCCGAGCTCGCTTTTTGGCACACTTATGATGCTTAAAGCTGCCTGTACGAATAATCCCAGTTATATCGATCGGCTGATAACTCCATTCATGAGGGTGTTGCACAAAATGGCCAAAGAACATTTATAATTAGTAAACTGCGCGAAAATTATTTATCATTCTTAAAACGCACCTTCTGTGCAAAAATATATAAGTCGATTTACAAGCACACTAATCTAATATTCGGTAAATACAACAAGTATAAGTTCCTATACAACAAATAATGTTATGCGGCAAACATTATAATAACATCAGCTTATCTGTATCCAATGTTAAACGAGTCTTGCGAAACGACCCTGCAGATTTTTTGAATCGTTTATTTAGCCGATTACAGGCCTATCCACAGTATCGTATAGTTATCGGCCATATATCACCGGGAAGAACACATAACGCGGATGCAACCAACCGAACATTAAGTGTTGCGAGGCCTGTAAAAGTTTTTAAAAATCTAGAGTCTCGACATTTTGGTCGGGTGAAGACTGCGGATAAAACGGTCGTAAACCGAATGATGTTGAGAAAATTCTGTAGTAGATTCCTTTTTTGCCAATAGATCGGTTAATATTGGTATATGTTACGCTATTCATATGATATTAAAAATCACCTTTTCAAAAAAGGTAAAAAAGGACGTTAACTGCCTATGCCTGTGTTCACTTTGAATATTTCTTATATATAAATTATTCTAAAAAAATAGCATTTATTAATTATCAAGGAATCATCAATATAATATTTCTCTCAGAAATGTACTTCAGACAAAATAATTTATTACATAAATTGAAAAATATTGTTTATTATTGATTATTTTATCAGTTTTATATTTAGCAATATTTTATATATGTCACTTATATTAGCAATTTTCTGTATAAAGAGTGCAAACATTTTTAGCGCCTCTATAGGCCACTGCTTTTTTTTATTTACATTTTATGAGCTTCGATATTAGATGTTTCTTCTCAACATATAATGACAACCGAGTGTCTAGGTATGGATTTCGCATAATGAGCAAAATCTATGGATTTTGCATAATGACCTTCGTCGTCACTTGCATAAGCCATGATAAGATATGGCATTCATCGTTTTATAAAATTGTTCGGTTATTAATACTTTTCAGTTGTTGAGACAGCGATAAGTTAAATTTGTATTTTGTTTTTACTAATTTACCATCCTATGATGAAAATAGTATTAAATAAATAACAATAATCTCTTTTGCTAATGTTATTTCAATTTTGAATAATATTTATTTCTTGTACAATATTCACATGATTCGTTATGTAACTGCATGATACCAATGTAAAAACGTAAAATTTAACAAATCATTAAAATCAGAATTTTTTTCAAATTATTAACAAGAATTGAAATAATAATATTATTATTAATAATAGTTTTTGTATTATAGCAAGTCTTGCACTATCGAGTTATTTGATGCTTTACTAAACTTTTTATACAATCATATTTTTCTCAAAAAACCATTCTGATTAAAAAATCGGATAGATTTTGTTCAAAAAGTGTTTGAAAAATGCTCTTCGAATATTGATATAATGTGCAATAAATTACGTGCAGTATAGAGAGCCAGAATGCATATGTCAGCCTATACACGCATTTTACACACACACACACACACACACACACACACACACACACACACACACA